GGTTTCTCACCAGAACAGACACTCAATATTTATCAACACGGCACAGCGGGAGCTCAGCCTGAGTGGCTCTCTTGAGATGGTACAGAGAACATACCCACTATATGTAGTTTTACTCCGTCTTCTAATGCCCCATCTGCATCTAATATACACCATCCCCCAACAGAACGCACTGTCTCTTGCTGACAAGCCTTTTGGGAGAGAATTGAGCCGAATTGCTTGCTTGTTTACTCTCAAGTTCTACCAGTTCTTCTTCTCAGGAGACTGGTGTGTTTTTGTGAGCATCTGATTCTGAATCTAAGGACTCGAGCTTGAATGGACTTACACAATCCGTGCAGAGATTTAGACACAACTGTTTGGAGACATGAGGGTGTGGTGGCAGACGTTCCCGTCAGATTCCATGTAACCTTTTTCTGATCTCCACGGCACGAGTCCTGCATGCAACAGGCTTTTGTGGGAGGAAAGATACAGTCTTATCTCGAGAGCTATTCACTGAGCCTGTTCGGTTCCATCTAATCATCTTTTGGCATAAGCACCTTGCGTTACCCTCGTTCAGAGGACACTGTCTACACCTCTCGCAGTTGTATAACATCCCATTGCCAATATTTACACAGGCTCAGCATTGTGCATCACAGAGCTCGGTGATACGGCAAGGCGGGGTGTGTGTGGTGACGTGTAGGCCTCTCACGATAACAGCTTTTTGTTGTGCGATATATTGCCCCAGAAATAATTGCGATAAGCGATATTATTGTCATTTTAAAGACCATTTTATGCCACTGAATATATAATCATAATGTAACAGCATAATAATGCAAGAAGGCCTACACACTTCCAAATGACAACAAACGACGTGCACACACATCCTGCTGGGCATCCTTTATCCTTCATCGGTAGTACCAGATTTATTGTATGTATGTGTTTGATGTCTGTTGTTTTGGCTGCTGCCTTTTAGAAGACTTTTACAAAAAAATTTAATCTTTACAGTAGTCAATTGCAGCACACCTCCTTAGTTCAAAGGAGACATTTGGATTGAATTTCCTGTTGTTTGTGATATCACGTCTCATGGTTTCTGCATCTAGATTTGATCCAGATCTCCAGAGATCTTGGATACCTGAACGCTCTACACTGTTCAGTGTTAGAATGTACTATAACAATAAAAATAACAACATGTATCCCTATTGGTTATATTATGCTCACCAAGGCTGCATTTATTTGATCAAAAATACAGTTAAAAACAGTAATGTTATGAAACATTACAATTTAAAATAACTGTTTTCTATTTAAATATATTTTAAAGTGTAATTTATTCTTGTCATGGCAAAGCTGAATTTTCAGCAGTCATTACTCCAGTCATGTCACATAATCCTTCAGAAATGCTGATTTGGTGCTCAAGAAACGTCTTAATGTTAAAAAGAGTTGTGCTGCTTAATATTTTTGTGGAAACTATGATCATTTTTTCAAGAGATTCAAAAGAACAGCATTTATTCAAAATAGAAATGTTTTACAGTGGATACGTTTACATGCACACTTTCTGGTTCAATCAGACTGAATTCATTCCGATTGATGAATCTGAATGTAGTGTTTACATGAACGCTAAAAAAAGTGATCGGGTTGATGTGTGCGTTTATATGTCACAAGCTTCAAATCGGAATTGATTTTTTTTTTACATGCGCACACTGCAGAAATATAGAGTTTCTCAATGTTTGCACATAATAACCACTCTCATACACGGTTTCTTTATTTGTTTTTAACAGCAGAATTAAAGGTGCAATAGGTGATTGTCTTCAGAAAATTTTTTTGTTATGCTGGTTGAAAGTCTCTTCACATCCCGATAGCAATCATTAAGTTAAGTGGTCTAAATGTATTTGTCTGTATTTATATATTCTGTGGAAGGTGTAGGATCAAGAAATGTTCGTCTAATCAAAACGTTCGGTCCGAGCGTTTTAATATGCTTTCCTACGATTGAGCCGTCAATCAGATTACAAATGGATTATTTGGTTGCATGTAAACGTAGCCATTGTAAGTTTCTTCATGTGACTTTGGATCAGTTTTATCCTTGCTGATTAAAAGTGTTAATTTCTTTAAAAAGAAAATCCTGCCAATAGGGATGTAACGATTCACTCAACACTTCAATTCGATTCACGATTATTTATATTTTTTTTTTACAAAATGAGATTTAAGACAAATTATAAATTAAATGTCCTTTTATTATTGCTTGGACAAAATGCTGCACATTTCTTTGTGAAATTGAACTATAACACTATAATAATATACTAATATAGCACTTGCATATTACTGCTCTATTGTTGGTTTTGATTGCTTCTGTTGTCCTCATTTGTAAGTCGCTTTGGATAAAAGCGTCTGCTAAATAACAAAATTTAAATATAATGTAAATAACAAAACTACATTGAAATTTAAAAACAAGCCCCAAATCAAATAAATAAGTAACACAAATAAAAATAAATCTCTTCATATAAACAAAATAAGGCTTTGTCTGTGCTCTTTCCATTTAAAATTAGAG